CTTGGACGATCGAATCGCGGCTCGAGCGCGCGCCGGACTCTACAGCTTGACCTGTTTCACTCTCTAACGCAACGAAAAGTATTTTTACGCATAGCGAAGTATATATTTTCCGAAAGCTAATGAACTTCTCTAATAGGTGTAAAAATTATTTGAATTTAAACGGAGTTATTCTTCTTCATATTTCGATCTGACCACTTACTTGGAAGGCAAAACAAGTTTTCGGGCGCTCTGGGTGGATGGTCGATTTAAGTTTAACAAAGGTAATAATAAACGCAGATGCAGATTCTTAATTTTGTGTGCCGCTCAAAAAACGTGTGCGCTAAGAGCACAGAAAAAGAGACTCTTCTGAAGCGAGTAGTTCTTTTTATATTTAATTTTTGCCTGATCTTGGACGATCGAATCGCGGCTCGAGCGCGCGCCGGACTCTACAGCTTGACCTGTTTCACTCTCTAACGCAACGAAAAATATTTTTACGCATAGCGAAGTATATATTTTCCGAAAGCTAATGAACTTCTCTAATAGGTGTAAAAATTATTTGAATTTAAACGGAGTTATTCTTCTTCATATTTCGATCTAACCACTTACTTGGAAGGCAAAACAAGTTTTCGGGCGCTCTGGGTGGATGGTCGATTTAAGTTTAACAAAGGTAATAATAAACGCAGATGCAGATTCTTAATTTTGTGTGCCGCTCAAAAAACGTGTGCGCTAAGAGCACAGAAAAAGAGACTCTTCTGAAGCGAGTAGTTCTTTTTATATTTAATTTTTGCCTGATCTTGGACGATCGAATCGCGGCTCGAGCGCGCGCCGGACTCTACAGCTTGACCTGTTTCACTCTCTAACGCAACGAAAAATATTTTTACGCATAGCGAAGTATATATTTTCCGAAAGCTAATGAACTTCTCTAATAGGTGTAAAAATTATTTGAATTTAAACGGAGTTATTCTTCTTCATATTTCGATCTAACCACTTACTTGGAAGGCAAAACAAGTTTTCGGGCGCTCTGGGTGGATGGTCGATCTAAGTTTAACAAAGGTAATAATAAACGCAGATGCAGATTCTTAATTTTGTGTGCCGCTCAAAAAACGTGTGCGCTAAGAGCACAGAAAAAGAGACTCTTCTGAAGCGAGTAGTTCTTTTTATATTTAATTTTTGCCTGATCTTGGACGATCGAATCGCGGCTCGAGCGCGCGCCGGACTCTACAGCTTGACCTGTTTCACTCTCTAACGCAACGAAAAATATTTTTACGCATAGCGAAGTATATATTTTCCGAAAGCTAATGAACTTCTCTAATAGGTGTAAAAATTATTTGAATTTAAACGGAGTTATTCTTCTTCATATTTCGATCTGACCACTTACTTGGAAGGCAAAACAAGTTTTCGGGCGCTCTGGGTGGATGGTCGATTTAAGTTTAACAAAGGTAATAATAAACGCAGATGCAGATTCTTAATTTTGTGTGCCGCTCAAAAAACGTGTGCGCTAAGAGCACAGAAAAAGAGACTCTTCTGAAGCGAGTAGTTCTTTTTATATTTAATTTTTGCCTGATCTTGGACGATCGAATCGCGGCTCGAGCGCGCGCCGGACTCTACAGCTTCACCTGTTTCACTCTCTAACGCAACGAAAAATATTTTTACGCATAGCGAAGTATATATTTTCCGAAAGCTAATGAACTTCTCTAATAGGTGTAAAAATTATTTGAATTTAAACGGAGTTATTCTTCTTCATATTTCGATCTGACCACTTACTTGGAAGGCAAAACAAGTTTTCGGGCGCTCTGGGTGGATGGTCGATTTAAGTTTAACAAAGGTAATAATAAACGCAGATGCAGATTCTTAATTTTGTGTGCCGCTCAAAAAACGTGTGCGCTAAGAGCACAGAAAAAGAGACTCTTCTGAAGCGAGTAGTTCTTTTTATATTTAATTTTTGCCTGATCTTGGACGATCGAATCGCGGCTCGAGCGCGCGCCGGACTCTACAGCTTGACCTGTTTCACTCTCTAACGCAACGAAAAATATTTTTACGCATAGCGAAGTATATATTTTCCGAAAGCTAATGAACTTCTCTAATAGGTGTAAAAATTATTTGAATTTAAACGGAGTTATTCTTCTTCATATTTCGATCTGACCACTTACTTGGAAGGCAAAACAAGTTTTCGGGCGCTCTGGGTGGATGGTCGATTTAAGTTTAACAAAGGTAATAATAAACGCAGATGCAGATTCTTAATTTTGTGTGCCGCTCAAAAAACGTGTGCGCTAAGAGCACAGAAAAAGAGACTCTTCTGAAGCGAGTAGTTCTTTTTATATTTAATTTTTGCCTGATCTTGGACGATCGAATCGCGGCTCGAGCGCGCGCCGGACTCTACAGCTTCACCTGTTTCACTCTCTAACGCAACGAAAAATATTTTTACGCATAGCGAAGTATATATTTTCCGAAAGCTAATGAACTTCTCTAATAGGTGTAAAAATTATTTGAATTTAAACGGAGTTATTCTTCTTCATATTTCGATCTGACCACTTACTTGGAAGGCAAAACAAGTTTTCGGGCGCTCTGGGTGGATGGTCGATTTAAGTTTAACAAAGGTAATAATAAACGCAGATGCAGATTCTTAATTTTGTGTGCCGCTCAAAAAACGTGTGCGCTAAGAGCACAGAAAAAGAGACTCTTCTGAAGCGAGTAGTTCTTTTTATATTTAATTTTTGCCTGATCTTGGACGATCGAATCGCGGCTCGAGCGCGCGCCGGACTCTACAGCTTGACCTGTTTCACTCTCTAACGCAACGAAAAATATTTTTACGCATAGCGAAGTATATATTTTCCGAAAGCTAATGAACTTCTCTAATAGGTGTAAAAATTATTTGAATTTAAACGGAGTTATTCTTCTTCATATTTCGATCTAACCACTTACTTGGAAGGCAAAACAAGTTTTCGGGCGCTCTGGGTGGATGGTCGATTTAAGTTTAACAAAGGTAATAATAAACGCAGATGCAGATTCTTAATTTTGTGTGCCGCTCAAAAAACGTGTGCGCTAAGAGCACAGAAAAAGAGACTCTTCTGAAGCGAGTAGTTCTTTTTATATTTAATTTTTGCCTGATCTTGGACGATCGAATCGCGGCTCGAGCGCGCGCCGGACTCTACAGCTTGACCTGTTTCACTCTCTAACGCAACGAAAAATATTTTTACGCATAGCGAAGTATATATTTTCCGAAAGCTAATGAACTTCTCTAATAGGTGTAAAAATTATTTGAATTTAAACGGAGTTATTCTTCTTCATATTTCGATCTGACCACTTACTTGGAAGGCAAAACAAGTTTTCGGGCGCTCTGGGTGGATGGTCGATTTAAGTTTAACAAAGGTAATAATAAACGCAGATGCAGATTCTTAATTTTGTGTGCCGCTCAAAAAACGTGTGCGCTAAGAGCACAGAAAAAGAGACTCTTCTGAAGCGAGTAGTTCTTTTTATATTTAATTTTTGCCTGATCTTGGACGATCGAATCGCGGCTCGAGCGCGCGCCGGACTCTACAGCTTGACCTGTTTCACTCTCTAACGCAACGAAAAATATTTTTACGCATAGCGAAGTATATATTTTCCGAAAGCTAATGAACTTCTCTAATAGGTGTAAAAATTATTTGAATTTAAACGGAGTTATTTTTCTTCATATTTCGATCTAACCTCTTACTTGGAAGGCAAAACTAGTTTTCAAGCGGTCAGGGCGGCTGGTCGATTTAAGTTTAAAAGAGGTAATAATAAACGTAGATACAGATTCTTAATTTCGTGTGCCGCAAAAAAAAGGTGTGCGCTAAGAGGACAGAAAAAAAGACTGTTCTAAAGCGAGTAGTTTTTTTTTTATTTTCGCCTGATCTTAGGCGATCGAATCGCGGCTCGAGCGTGAAGCGGGCCTCCACGACTTCACGAGTACCACACACAAAGATAAAATGCTGCTAACAGGGGAACAAACAATAATATAACACCAAGTATGCCTCGTGCACATTGAAAAAGAGCAGGAATCAGGTTACCGAGGCTGGAACAGAGAGGTGGCGAGAGACACGGGAGCTGCATGCCACGCAAGTGCATATCCCCCGATATGCAAACGAATTATGGCCCTGATGAGGGCCGTTTTGTTTTTCGCTCTGGATATCCAGGAGAAGACCTATTTCTTGGAGGAAGCCTTCTTTGCAGCCGGCTTCTTGGCAGGGGTCTTTTTTGCTGCCTTGGGTTTCTTGGGGCTCTTGGGTGCTGCAGCCTTCTTCTCTGCCTTTGGCTTTTTCGGCTTGGCCGACTTGGGCTTGGCCGACTTGGCCCTCTTTGCGGGCGACTTCTTGGCAGTCCCGGGCTTCTTCTTCCTGGCCGCACCGGCAGTTGCCGAGGCTGGGCGCTTCTTTGCAGCACCAGCCTCCTTTTTGGGCTTCCTAGCAGCAGGTGAGGGCTTGTCGGACTTGGCTGACAGCTTGAACGATCCGGTAGCTCCCTTGCCCTTGGTCTGCACCAATGCTCCCGCAGCCACGGCAGACTTGAGATACTTGCGGATGAAAGGAGACAGCTTCTCGACGTCCACCTTGTAGTTGGCAGACATGTATTTCTTGATGGCTTGTAGAGATGAACCACCACGTTCCTTAAGCGCACTGATGGATGCTGTCACCATTGCGGACACCTTGGGATGCGTTGGCACGGCCTTTGCCTTTCCCTTGGACACTTTCGTGGAAGCCTTTTTGGGGCTCTTAAGGGCAGCGGGGGCCGCGACCCCAGCAGGAGCGGACACTTCTTCGGACATGACCCACTCTAATCGTAAGCAGAGAGAGACTGAAAAAAAACCGTCTAGAACAAGCGCTCATTGGCCGAGAGAGGCGAGCGCGAACCTCCGGGAGAAGCCCTTCGAAGGTGACGAATGTTTGTAACCATGCCGTTTCTAAAATAACAAAGTTTGGAGTCTAATTTTTGCTCGATTCTGTGCTCTAATATAGGTTCCACATTATCCTCACAAGTCTGAGTTACTTCGATCGAGAAAAATTATTTTACGGAGCCAAGCGCATAGGCCCTCGCAAGAAAGTCGCCCAAAACAGCATCCAAGAATGAACAAGCGCGCTGATTGGACGAGAGGCGAGCGCGGCCCACTGGAGAAGGTAACGAATGTTTATAACCGTGCCGTTTCTAAAATAACAAGGTTGGGAGTCTAATTTTTGCTCGATTCTGTGCTCTAACGTTGGTTCCACATTATCCCCACAAGTTTAGATCACTTCAATCGTGAAATATTGTCCTAGCGAGCCACGTGCGCTGTCCCTCGCAAGAAACTTGCCCAAAACAGCATCCAGAATGAACAAGCTCTCTGATTGGCCGAGAGGCCTTGTCGGGAAGGAAGTTTCGCCACTCGCGCTGAGGCAGTTGGTCGTCAGGAGTCGAGGTGTGTTGCTGTTTGCTAGCTCTCTCGTTTTATTGTCCCAACGTTTCGGAATGGCCCGTACGAAGCAGACCGCCCGCAAGAGCACGGGAGGAAAAGCACCGCGCAAGCAGCTGGCTACGAAGGCCGCCCGGAAGAGTGCTCCTGCAACCGGTGGAGTCAAGAAGCCGCATCGCTACAGGCCGGGCACGGTCGCGCTGCGTGAGATTCGTCGTTACCAGAAGTCGACTGAGCTGCTCATCCGCAAGCTGCCCTTCCAGAGGCTAGTGCGGGAGATCGCGCAAGATTTCAAGACGGACCTCCGCTTCCAGAGCTCGGCTGTAATGGCCCTGCAGGAGGCCAGCGAGGCCTACTTGGTCGGTCTCTTCGAAGACACCAACCTCTGTGCCATCCACGCCAAGCGGGTAACCATCATGCCTAAGGACATCCAGCTGGCTCGTCGCATCCGCGGTGAACGCGCTTAATGTCGCTTCTTTGGAAGCGGCAGGCAACGCCACAAAAACGGCCCTCTTCAGGGCCACATCAGACATGCTTTTCGGACATGTGTAAAGCGACGTCCTCCCGTGTCTCAATCTCCGATGCTGACTTGTTCCAAGTGCAGGAGTTCAAAAGCTGTGAGTACTTTCTATTTATTCTCCCATTTTGAACTAGTTTGCATTGTGCCAAGTGCTCCGTTCGCAGTTGCTTCCAACGATTCCTTCATGTGTTCCTTGTTTTCTAAAGTGTTGTTGAATGAAATAAATAAAGAAGAAAAAAACCTTTCCCGAGACATTACAGGGTTCATTTTCTAGCAATCAGCGAATATCACGATTATAGATTCGACCAACAAAAACCCGTGGAGTAATTATCTGTTTTTGAGGGATGTCCACAACATTTATTGCCCTCTGCCGGTTTCGGGGAAATGCTGCTCCGATTGTTGACTCTCGTAGAAACAGCTTCAAATCCTCTCAAAGCGAGGCAGTGCAGCGGTGGTTTTACGAGTTCAAATAACAAGCAATGCTGGCCTTTGCGCCCGACAGCAAGTCTTGTTCGGGCAATTCGCACACGTGAAAGAATTTGGCATTAAACGCAGCGTAAATATTATGCATGGGAGAATGCCTAAGAGTGGCATTCAAGGCCTGTAGGTGATGAAAGAGAAACACTGTCGGCATTGCACAAAAAGGAAATTGAAATGCACATACCCGAGCGTTTAGAGACACGGAAGACTAGCGCACGGAAATGAGTATCCTGTACTCAAGTCATGAGTGGTCCTGAAAAGGACCGTTTTTCTGTAGCGGATGCCGCGGGATGGTTTACGCCTTCTTCTCGGTCTTCTTGGGAAGGAGGACGGCCTGGATGTTGGGCAGGACACCTCCTTGCGCGATGGTAACGCCGGACAGCAGCTTGTTGAGCTCTTCGTCGTTGCGAATGGCCAGCTGCAGGTGTCGAGGGATGATCCTAGTTTTCTTGTTGTCTCTGGCCGCGTTTCCTGCCAGCTCGAGCACTTCGGCAGCCAGGTACTCGAGTACGGCCGCCAAGTAGACGGGGGCACCGGCACCTACTCGCTCCGCGTAGTTGCCCTTTCGCAGTAGTCGGTGGATCCTTCCCACGGGAAACTGGAGCCCCGCGCGGCTGGAACGGGTCTTGCTCTTGCCCTTTGCCTTGCCTCCTTTTCCGCGCCCAGACATCTTGGTGGAGGTGAGAAGTGGACAACCGAACAAACCAACGAACACTGAGTGAGTGAGGGAGTCAGCGCATCGAGAAGCAGAAAATCAAAGCAAGTGCCAGTCCTCTCCGCTTGGGGGGCGCTGCAGGAGCGCGTTTTCGCCTTGCACTGCCTCTGCTTCATAGCACTCCTCTCCCAAAACCCTCTCCCAAAAAATTGTAGTTTCAACTGCTTGCTCATTGGTTCGCGCAGCAACCAATCGCGAAGCTTTATTTTGGGCGTACTCCAATCACAGCGCACTGTTTCCCGCGCTCTAGAATGCTGGCCAATCGGAGCACATTTTTCAGAATGCTGTGAAAACCTATAAAAAGAGCAAAGAAAACTGAAAATTTCAGGTTGCCCCAGTTGTTGTTTCGCCATCTTTTTGCGAGTAACAACGTCGATCTTCTCCCGAAGACAAGTCGCGCGAGGATGCCCCCCCAACCGAGCGGAAAAGCAGTGAAGAAGGCGGGCAAGGCACAGAAAAATGTGCGTGCCACCGACAAGAAGAAGAAGAGGCGCAAGAGGAAGGAGAGCTTCAGCATCTACATCTACAAGGTGCTCAAACAGGTCCATCCCGACACCGGAGTGTCCAGCAAGGCCATGTCGATCATGAACAGCTTCGTGAACGACATCTTCGAGCGCATCGCAGCAGAGTCGTCTCGGCTGGCTCACTACAACAAGCGCTCGACCATCACGAGTCGGGAGATCCAGACAGCTGTGAGGCTCCTGCTGCCGGGTGAACTGGCAAAGCATGCGGTGTCCGAGGGCACCAAGGCTGTCACCAAGTACACCAGTTCCAAGTAACACCCAGGAGCTATCTCCCTGCTGTATGTACAAACGGCCCTTTTGAGGGCCATACTCATCCCTGCAAAACGGCCGTCTCTCGATGACTTCCAACTCCCGTGTCTCTCTTTTCAAGAAATATGTGAGTACCCAGTGCTTCTGCATCGCGCATGTTTGCAAAGAGTATGTCTTTTTTCTTGTTGTGCAGTCGAACTTGGCTTCTTGTAGCCACAGTCGGATGTCGTTTATTTTGTTTCGGTGAAAAAAAAAACATTGTATTTCATTGCTTTTGAGGGCACGAGTGACCTTCCTAAATATTGCACATCGCTCGCGTATGTAAAGGATATATTCGCGTGGTTTTTAGCCGTTGGGAGCCCATACTCCAAAGTGTTTTGTTTTCGAGTTGCAGCGTTTTTCTTTTTAGAGCCACGGTTGTATCAAATAACTTGCTTTTAAATTCGAGTGTTCTTATTTTAAGTTTAAAAAATGCAATGATAAACGTAGATACAGGCTTTTAATCTCGTGTGCCGCGAAAGAAAAGTGTGTACTAACAGCACAAAAAAGAGAAACTCTTTTAAGGCGAGTACTTTTATTTTTATTTTTGCCTGATCTTAGACGATCGAATCGCGGCACGAGCGCGCGCCGGACTCTACAGCTTCACATGTTTCCCTCTCTAACGCAACGAAAAATATCTTTACGCATATCGAAATATATATTTTCCGAAAGCTAATGAACTTCTCCAATAGGTATAGAAAGCGTTTGATTTTAAACAGAGTTATTTTTGTTCATATATTGATCTAACCACTTACTTGGAAGCCAAATCTAGTTTTCGGGCGCTCTGGGTGGCTGGTCGATTTAAGTTTAAAACAAGGTAGATAAAGACTGTTAATTTTGTGTGCCGCTAGAGAAAAGTGTGCGCTAAAAGCACAGAAAAAGAGACTTTTCTAAAGCGAGTAGTTCTTTTTATTTCTAATTTTTGCCTGATCTTAGACGATCGAATCGCGGCTCGAGCGCGCGCCGGACTCTACAGCTTCACCTGTTTCACTCTCTAACGCAACGAAAAATATTTTTACGCATATCGAAGTATATATTTTTTGAAAGCTAATAAACTTCTTCAATAGGTGTAAAAAGCATTTGAATTGAAACGGAGTTATTCTTCTTCATATTTCGATCTAACCGCTTACTTGGAAGCCGAAACTAGTTTTCGGGCGCTAAGGGCGGCTGGTCGATTTAAGCTTAAAAAAGGTAATAAAAAACGTAGCTACAGATTCTTAATTTCGTGTGCCGCTAAAAAAAGGTGTGCGCTAAGAGCACAGAAAAAGAGACTCTTCTAAAGCGAGTAGTTTTTTTTTTATTTTTAATTTTTGCCTGATCTTGGACAATCGAATTCCGGCCCGAGCGCGAAGCCGGCCCTACGGCTTCGCCTGTTTCGCTCTCTAACGCAACGAAAAATATCTTTACGCTTACCGAAGTGTCTATTTTCTGAAAGCTAATGAAATTCTTCGGTAGGTGTAAAAAGCATTTGAATTTAGACGAAATTGTTTTATTACTTTACTTCATTTGCGCGATTCGCGGCAGCGGCACGAACTGGCCGCTTTCGGGTGGCAGGTTTGGCTTCTTAACAGACCGAAGGCTTGGTAAAACGTTTTTCAGTATCAAATTTTCTGCCAGCCAAAAAGACTTTTCGTCCCGTGTAATAAGCACTTAAAACCGGACCCTTTTATATAAGTCAATATTTTGATCAAACTGTGTTCTTGGGTGACCCAACTTGCTGTCGACCCGGCTCACCATGGCGGTGAATTGCACTGCGCGCTTAAAAACGCCAGTGATAAGAAACTTTAATTTTTGTGTGCCGTGAGAAGAGTGTGTCTTGTACAAGTTCCGATGAATAGATTGCTCGAACGTTTATAAAACTCTTTTTTATTCGCATGTGAAAACGGGCCCTTGACTAGCTGCATCGGTGCGAAGCTCGGCACTCCTGAGTTGACATGTTTCTCCCATTGACTTAGCGAAAGCGAATCTTAATCCCGCTAAAATATATATCTCCTGGAACCTAGAAAAAACAATGTTTTGCACATACAACTATGAAGACTCAAAATGGGCGAGGTGTATGAATGCCTTTGCTAAAGCCATGCATTTCATCAACACACGCTTGCTTCCAGTGCGCAGCCACCTGTCGGCCACAATACGAAGCTGCAGGACTGCTCCCATTCGTCGGCGGGAGAGGAGGAGGCCGTCGTGGGTTCACTTGGTCGGACCCGTAGAGCATTGCCGCCAGTCTTTGTTGAAGTAGGCGAACGGTGCGGTCGTGTTTTCCGTCCCTGTTTTTGCAGCAAACATGTCTGGAAGAGGCAAGGGCGGCAAGGGCCTGGGCAAGGGTGGTGCCAAGCGCCATCGCAAGGTTCTTCGCGATAACATCCAGGGGATCACCAAGCCTGCAATCCGTCGCCTAGCCCGCCGCGGTGGTGTCAAGCGCATTTCCGGCCTCATCTATGAAGAGACCCGCGGCGTCCTCAAGGTCTTCCTGGAGAACGTCATTCGCGATGCCGTCACCTACACCGAGCACGCCAAGAGGAAGACCGTGACGGCCATGGATGTGGTGTACGCGCTCAAGAGGCAAGGCCGTACCCTCTATGGTTTCGGTGGTTAACAGCCGTCTCGCCGTCGGACACACATCGAAAACGGCCCTTTTCAGGGCCAAACCAGTACCGGTCTATCTTGGAAACGGGTTTTCATTCCAACGCCTCCCTCCCGTGTCTCTCTGTAATCCTGAAAACAAGCACTGCTTTGGGTGAGTGATTCCTCTTTTGTCATGAGTGTTGTTTTGCCGCGGGTCTCTACCATTTTGTGCGCCACAGCCGAGTGTACCAATCTTCTCAGGCAGCAGTCGAACATTCGTTGCCCTAGTACCTGCCATCGGCCATACCATGCTGAATACGCCGGTTCTCGTCCGATCACCGAAGCTAAGCAGCATCGGGCTCCGTCAGTACTTGG